AGATTTATTGCAAACCGTATTCTAGCTGCTTAAGGCATGACTTGCACTAATACCATGTCACATTGTTACGTGCGACCCCGTGTTACATTTCATGGTCCAAAATGACTCGAAAAATTGCCTGTTTGCTCATCATACGATCGAAGGCCTCTGATGCCTGGTTGCCAGGAAAGACCTCGTTGATTGGCCGAATGCCATGCCGGGCAGCAAACTGGACGGGGATGACGTGCGATTGGTGGGTGATGGAGGGGAGGGAAAGTTGACATGGAGATGATGAGCTGCAGACGAGGAATCTCCGGGATGGAGCATGCATCAACAATAGAGTGGGAGGAGAAGAGACCAATCCCTTGAAAGCATCTTCAGCATCACTGGGCTATCCCAAAACAAAACACCTGGGCGCCAATTAGAAACCCCCAGTCCATTCACACACTGCAGTCATTGTGCCTGCCCACGCCTCCTACAGCCATACTTACAACCCCTATAGCCTCCTGCCGGCGAGCAGAACCTCCGGGTCCACGAGCATGGTGCATGAGAGGTCGATCCAGCGACGCCGGTTGGAAGATAATGCGCCCCCGCCGCTCCACCTCCCGCCGCCACAAATTCTACTCCCGCCACGGGCGGAACAGGCGGCAGACGGAGCCGAGATCCAGGAACCAGAGCGGGGGCAGCGGCGGCAGGAGCCGACGAGGCCGGAATCTGAGGAGGGATTGGTGCAACAGGAAGAGGACTTTCAGGGAGCGCGGGCTGACGACGCGCGGAATAGGCCTCGCCGCCTGCAGGAGCAACTGTCGCGCCATATAAACCTGAACCGGGCTGCGGAGCTGGTGAGCGACACGCGGATGGACAAGCCTGGGGAGGACAATTGGCATGTGGTCCGGTTGATCAGCCTGCAGGGGGTAGGCGCGGGGGACTGGCTTCATGCAATCCCCACGCGGGCAGATCTTACGTTCTCGCCGGGTCAGTTTGCTTTGGCCCTGGGGTTCCGCTTGGGATTGGCGCTGCCGGTGGCTGAGAAGTGCCCGTGTCAGGGGGAGCGGGGGGAGATAGGGGACCTGAGCTTACCGAACCACCTGCTGCGGTGCGGGGAGGGGAAGGAGAGGACAAACACACACAAAAACCTCGTGTATGCAGCGCTCCGCAGGGCCAGGGAGGCGGACTACCTTACCTTGTATGAGACCACGGTCTACTCGCAACCCATCAACCCCAAGCGAGCAGACCTGGCCATCAAGGATAGGGAGTCCGCCGAGACGTATGTGACGGACGTCACGGTGACCGACCACATGCTGCAGCGCCGAGACACCAGGGCAGTGAAACCGCCAGGCTGGGCGGCAGAGGACGCAACGAGAGGGAAAAGGGGATTATATGAGGGGCGGCCGGATTTTGAAGGGGTGTTTGGGCTGGCGGTGGAAACATATG